CGAGGGGTGGGCGCCGGCCGGACCGTGTGCCCCCGCGAGATGGGGCTGGCAGCAAAACCTGCGGTCATGGCTGGGCTGGGGGGGTGATCCTCCCCCGCAGAGCCCCCAGCCCTCCTCGCTGTCTCTGCTGTCCGTACAGTTTTCTGATTCCTCACCAAAGGCAGTGGCCAAACACTGCAGTGTGGGGAAAAACAGGAACACGTGGTGCTGCCCCACAGCCCAGCCGCTGCCAGCAGTCGCAGCCTGGGCTGGAGGTGCCCTTGCACCCAGGAGCCCCCCAGCGCTTTCTACTTTCTCCACATGCTGCTGAGCCCACAGGAGAGCTGGAGGTCCTGCGGCAAGTGGTCCAAGCTAACGTTACCCCCCTTGAACTTTGATGTAAGCCTGGCGGGAGCTCCCGGCGGCTGGCAGGGCCAGGAGCAGGCAACTGAGCCTGCTGAGGCCATCCCGAACCACTTGCATTTAACACAATCTGGGTTCCCAGCATTGTCAGGGCTCCCATTTGTCCTGTGACCTCTTGCACAAGCCCTGGTGCTCCACCGCACCAAGTTCGGCCCCAAAACACCACCAGCCAGGGAGGTCCCAGGAGCCTCAGAACAGCAGCATCACCCATTTTTGGGGAGGTGGGCCTCCCTCCTGGACAGCGGGACAGTCCCAAGTCCGTCCATGCTGGCACACCTCCAGCACATCCCCACGGGCAGGGTGGTGGGTGCAGCAAAGCCAAGCAGCTCTGAATCACCAAGGGACTTGAAGCTGCTTGGAAAAAATCATGTAATCGCTAAAATTAGCAGCTTGTGGGCTTGGCCGGGAGACCACATTGCTCATCTGCCAAACAGCTGAGCACACTCACCCACAGCCCGCTCCCCCCCAGCCCCTGCTCCCCACACACATCCAGCTCCCAGCAGCCCTGGGAGGGATGGGACATCCCCAGGCCCCGTCGCGCCCCGCAGCGCAGGGCTAGGACCCCCCCCAGTTATCTTGCACCTCTGCAAAGCACCCACCACACTATGAGAAACCCCCATGGTGGCCCCCGGTGCTCACGGAGACCAGCTGGCCCAGGGCATCGAGCCAAACTCTGCTCTGCTGCAGTGTCGGAAGAGGGCGGAGGGCTGGGCTAGGGGAGGGGGTCCCCTCAGTGCTCCAGCACAGGGGGACACCTCCGGGCCCAAGCCGTGCAGCAGGACACGTAGGCTCAAGCCACAGCTGAGGGGTGAAGGAAGGCGCGTTAGTCCCTCAAAGGCTGGTGCTGCCCCCCACCTACCCACGCATTAGAGAGGCACCAGCAGCCCCTGCCCCACCGCACCCCCACACCCTAACACTTTGAGGAACCAAGAACCAGAGCTCCTCTATAGGGCCAACGATCCAGCCCCCATGGCGTGTTCAGCTCGCTGCTTGAGGAATGCAGGGCCAGGGCTGCCTTGCTGCTTGTGGCTACAGGCTGCTCCATCTACATCTGCCCCAAGGGCTGGGGGCATGTCCCATCTTCCCTGGGGAAGTACATGTGCAGGGCAGGAGCTTTGGGAAGGAGCAGCAGCCCTGGTCCTGGATGGGCAGCAGGGATGGCCATGAGGCTAACCCACCATCCAAGCACCAGACCCACCACAACCCTCCTGGAGCTCAAGTAAAACGGCATTTAGGATCCCAAGCATCAGCAGGACTTGCCCAGCCAGCAGGACCGGCTCCTCCAGGCTCAGCCTGAGCCCTGAGCGATAGCAGCAGCACGCAGGGCTTGGCGCAGGCTCAGGGCAGCGCTAGGCTGGAAGGAATGTGGGGCTTGCGGCCAAGTCCGCCTGGAAAGATAATCCAAAGCGGAAAGAGCTTGTCCGATGGGCGCTGGGAGAGGGGGGAAGGACTGGCTGGAGCAGGAGGCGATGGCAGGGGGCTGTCCCAGTGCATGCACTGCAAAGCGTTTGCTGGACCAGCTTTGGCCTGTTCTCCATAAAGCCATCCCTAACACCAGGGAGGGCACCAGGGACCCCTTCCCAACACCCCAAGGGGGAAGGGGCTCCATCTTTCCCCGGTGTCCGGCAAAGCCAGCAGAGGAGCGCACAGCAGGCTGCGGAGCTGCTGCCAGCTGTCACTGGCTCCCTGCCCTGAGCTTTTTTCATCTAGAGACACAAAGGCACAGCTGGAAGCCTGGCACGTTGTGGAGAAACACCACAGTCCTACAGCAGCAATTCCACAAGAGGGGCCAAGCCCAGTGGTGGGATGTCTCTGGGTGCTGCTGGAGCAGCGGATCCCCACCCCACAACAAAGGGGGACTCGCCCAGCATGGTTCAGGCAAGAGGCTTTGCC